GGCGCGGGGCGGGGAGCGGAGCGGAGCGCGGTGCTGCGGGACCGCCCGCGGCCGGTGCGCGGCCCCGGCGCCGCCCGGCTCGGCTCTGTGCTCTGTCTGCGGGGCCCGCCGGGCAGCGGCTGCGGGGAGCGCCGGGGCGGGCATTCACCTGCCCCCGGTCCGGGGCGGTGAGCCGGGACGGCCGCGCCCCCGCAGCCGCCGAAAGCCGCGTGCAGAGAAAAAAACACCTCAATTAGGGGAAAAGTAAACAGATGTATGTAAAACACGAGAGCTGCGCGGGAGCGGTGGGGACGCTCGGCTTCGCCGTTCGTGCGAAACAGTTCGTTTCGCTGCCTCTTCTGTCGGGGGTTTATGGCCTCTTAAAACCCGGACAGAAAAGGGATGATGCTGTTCCAGCCCTACTTGGGTAAAAGTTGATGGCTTGTTACTCAGTGTGGCTCTGCCCGTGCACTCACACGACACCAGAACGAGACTTAAAACCGTTCTCTTTTTCCCCCGTTACTGTGATGCTAAGTTCTCCACAAGCTCTGATTCTCAGTCTGTGTTTCTCCGACCTGCAAGCTTTCCTGCGTCCAGCCGGCACAGCCTTAAAACCCGCCCGGAGTCACACAGGAGCAATGGGAGCAGGATTTCGGAGCCCACAGTGCACATCCTGGGTGTGTGGTGACACCACGACACGCTCCCAGGGAGGATGGGCTCTTTGGAGACGTGGCTTTCCAGAGACTTTTAAATGTGAAGAGTCAGAACTTGGGAGAATGGTGATTTGTGCCAGTGGGGAGCCTGGCAAGCAGAGGCCTGGGAAAAGTGATGCTGAGGCAAAATGTTCCCTTCCAAAAGGAGAACCCAGATCTGGTGGTCAGAAACTTGTGGATTTGTCATATTCATGATTGGAAGTGGTTAAAGCTGCCAAGTCTCTTGTTGGCCTGGTGGGTTCGAATTCTTCCTGCAGTTTTTATTTTTACCCCCACCCCAAACAGCAAAAAAAACCCCAAACCCTGTTGCTAGATAATTGCTCTGTTCTCACAGGTGAAGCAGCGAAGCTCAATTAATTCTGCTTTGTGAAGTGCTTCTGATCCTCTGATGGAAACATGTAGGGGCAAAACACTTTTATTTTGCAACTTGCAAAGGCTGATAAGAGCGATGAAAACGGAAAAGCCTCACCACTGAGGGGGATTACAGCCCCACGCTTTTTCCACTTGAGATCTTAGAGATGAGCTGATGGCTGCTGCTTTTCATTTAGAAGGGTTTTTCCCCCTCTTTTGAAAGAAACACAATCACTACCAAGTATTCTAGAGGGACTTCATCTTTAAACAAATAATGTTTTTCTTGTTGGGTGTGCACTATTATTTTCTTAATTATTCCTGGATTTATGCCTGTTCCACCAAGAGTTTTCTCAGATGGCAGAAACAATTGGTCCTTTTTTATTACGCTAATAGCAAAAAGTATCCCTAATAAAAAGACTCTGTACATCCCATAAACTCAAATGGGACACATTTTGCCAACAATCACACCTCTTCATTGAGGCATCTTATATGCTGCTTCTTTTTTTTTAAAACTTTTTTTCCACATTACTATTGTTTACTACTCGGCCTCACTGGCTGGCTAAGTCTTGGTGCCAAAACGAAACTAATCGAGTCATTTATTTAGCACCAGAGCCCTCCCACTCACCCTTAGCATGAATGTTGAGATCTCAGCAGATGTGGTAGGGAATGAATGGGCAAAGAGATTCACCTACACAAAATCACATCTACTTGTGGGTGGCCTCTAATTAATTTGGCTTCGAGGCTCCACTGCAAGGTAGATGGGTTAGGAAGTCTGGCCAGGAGTCATCTGGTTGAATCATACCTATTCTATGGAGAACTTCATTGTGTAGCTGTGTCTGCCTCCCACCCTTGTGAGAACTAATTAAACATTTAAAAAAAAAAAGTGCCCCACACTTATTGGAAGTCAAATATAAATGTCAGCGTTTCGGATGAAATGGTGTCTTGGGAGGCTCCTGCACATTTAATCAGCTGGTTGCGCCATGTATATCATGGCCTCAAAAGCTGCAGTGAGAACCACGAAAGGCACTGGCTTAACATCAGCAGAAGTGTTTGCCAAACTTGGATTATGTCACTGCTTTATGATCTTGCTTTGTAAAGGGAGAATACTCTTGGGGAGAAAGGACTCGGCATGCTGGATCTACGGCGAGAGCGAGGAATGAATGCTGCTCACAGAGACCGGGGGGAGGGCGAGGGGTTCTGTTTGCTGGGGTGTTTTTGCAGATGGATGCTGTACGGTTGCTGCCGCCAAGCAGAGATGCACCCCACGGATCACTGGGGCTGAAAGCAAAAAGCCCAAAATACCCCAGCAGAGCTGTTTGCTGCTCGCCCTCCCACGGGCACACCTGTGGGGGCCCTGCCTGGGTCCTGTTTGTCACTGTCCCCTGGCTCTCGGAGCATCTCTGTCCCATTCCAGGGAATATGGAGATGATCTGAGGCCCTCTGGTTTTCCTTTACCTCAGGATACAGACCCCAGCCAGGCTGGGGGTTGTCAGACACTCAGAATGTGATGCCCTTGCGGAGGTGGCAGCCATGGAACTGGTTAAAAAAATAAACATCCCCCACCACACATCTGAGATGTGGCCTGCTGAGATGCTTCTGTTCCCTGTCACAGGGGTGAGCTGTGGCCACTCCTTCCGTGCTGCAAGCTGGTGGTAAAGGCAGGAAACTCTTTGAGAAGACCAATTCTGCTTGCCCAGCACCAGCCCAAATGCTGGGCTTGCATCTGCTGCTGTGAGTGCAAGAAGAATAAAGAAAAAAACTTGGAGGTTTTTTGAGGAGGGCTCTCGGTGGGACAAGTGACATTGGAGGGAACAAACAGCTGAAGAGAAACACCTCTTTAAAAGCAGCCCCTGGGGTCTGAGAGCTGTGCTGCCATGCTGCCCTTGCTTTCCTGTTGCAGCAAGAGCCTTGGGCAGCCACCAGTCCCCACCCGCCTCACTGCCGGAGCATCCTGCCCAGCCTGGAAACTTTCCGCTGCTACTGGGCTAATAAATTGTGCTGCTTCTGGAGGAGTGTCTAGCCAGCCCCTGACTGCATCCTAACACTGGGCTTGGCATGGACAAGGGGGTCCCTGTGTCTGCAGGGGCTGTGTAGGGCACAGGGAGTGCAGGTGGGCAGCCTGGGTACCCAGGACAGTGAAAAGGACCAGGTGTGGGTACAGCCACAGCACCTCGTGTTTGCCAATGAACAGAACAGGCGTTCCTGGTGTGCAGAATGGGGGCGAGGGTCTTTTATTTATTGCATTACCCTCCAGTACAGTAAATTGCCCATCCTGAGCTCTGATTTCTGCACTAACCCTTCCTCCAGCCTTTCAGTCCCTAGTGACCAGACTGAACAGTGGGTTAGTGCTTGGTTTCTTTCCATATCTCCTTCATCTGCCCTTGTGCACCAGCCCTGGCGTTCCGCAACTCCCCCAGCTCTGTGTGTGGTGTGACAGTCCCAGCCTTGGCTTCCTGGGCCCCATCGGTGCTCGCAGCCGCCTCAGCCACTCTGCGGTGTGGAAGATGGGTGTGGTGGCCATGCCGATGGGGTTTTGGCAGCACCTCCCGCCTTGCCTTGGCTCAGAGTGCCCGGAGCGTAGCACTGTCTGGACAGCGATTTCACTGCCCGCCATCCAGCCTGCCAGTGCAGCCTTGTCATTGCAATTTGTCACACGTATCTGGTGTGTGCCGAGGATCATGGAATCGCTCCTTGTCTGGCGCGAGGAGCAGCCGGGCCCTGCCGGGCCTTGCCGGGCCCACATGCGGCTGTGCCGGGCCTGCGCTCTGCTCTCGCGGTGTGAACCAGCAGCATGACATTCCCTCCCATCAGCCTCCTTTCTTTCAATGG